CCTTGAGGTTGTCACACAAATCGGAGGGTCCTACAGTTTTACGCCCACTCCGAACGGCGATTGTATTTTTATGAGAAGCCACAACTATGGATTTGTCTAATTTCTATACACAATACATCGCTCAGGTCATGAAAGCTTTCTGCACCCAAGCCTCCTCCTCCAAAGTGCGCGTTCATTTGCAGAGTGAGTGCACGGATTCTGGCTTTTTCTAGTTTTTGCCGCACTGGCAGAAGTCATTACAAAGTCTTTTCGCGTGCCTTCTCAAAATGATGACATCGGTCAGCAGATCCAGTTGTCGCAATTACACGCCTCCCCCCATCTTATTGTCCATTTTAGATTCGTCTTTTAGTGGCGATTAGAGTCAGTCCTGGGTTGGCCTTTAAGTTGGCTGTGACCAACAAACAAAAAAAAAATATCCAGCAGATTAATAACAAATGAGAAGACTTGCGTCCACTTACTGGTGAGCCTTTATTGCCATCAAGAAATGTATGCCAAACAAAAATATTTTCGAGTTTATTAATAAAAACAGATGCACCAATTAAAAATTTTCTTAATATCACAATAAATTATTCGCTGAGTATAAAAAACTTATACATACCTACACATTACAATAATCACTTATATTTTTAAATTGCATTTATCTTAGGTATTTATGTATAATTATTCGCTAGCTCATCATCACTTCTGATGCATTTCCTTATACAAACACTATTGGATCTTGATCCTCATCTATATATTCGCTTATTTTGAAATTGGTTTGTACATTTGTCATCGCCACCAGGCCATCCCTGCCACAGTCATTTTGCTTTAGTGGCGCGTGACTGATCACACCTATCAGATAATGCTTTCCAGTACGCGAATCGTACTTAACAAAACCGCCACCGCTATCTCCTCGACAAATGTCGCCCGTTTTTGTAACGCGTTGTACGCAAAATTTATCGCTCGGCAAATCGTACGGTTTATCATTGAACGTTAGTCTATCGCGGCAAGTGTGGTAGGACACGGTATTCACATCTACCTTTTGAAATACATCGACATCGGCGCTGGTCGCTGTGGGCCCCCAACCGACAATGAAACCCAATTCTCCAGTTTCTATGCTTGCAGCGGCCAGCCTTTTGTATTCAAAACATATTGGCTTAATTGTATCGCTAAATTTGAATTGCTGCACCAGTCTAACGATTGCCAGATCATCCTCATAATAGCCAACGCGGTCCTTGTAGCTGAAAATATTAAACAAAAGTTTAGTATGTAAATTTGCTTGCCATTAATTGAAATATTTAATAAAGTCTCACTTTGATGGCACATATATCTCAGTAACATCAGAGCCTTCATTGATGATATAAACGGATATCAGTTGTGCAGGAGAGACTTTGTATAGTCTCGTTGGATATATTTCCAAGTTAGCTTCGTCCCAAAAGCAATGTGCAGCTGCGCGATAGAAAGAGAAAGACGAAAAGTGTAAATATTGCCGATTTGTATTTGCAGGGTTTACAGCTAGTGCAGACTACCATAATGACCACTGGGTGGAGACCAATTTGCGCGTATTTACAATTATTGCTACTTTGCTTTAGGTGCTACTTTGGGCTCGGTAGGCAATTGCAAAGCAGAACCTCCTCTCGACGCACAAAAATTACGCTCGTAAAAATATGCCCGTCATAGGCGATGTCGATGAGAAGGCGTTGGGTGCTTTCGAGAGAAGTATTCTACGCTGGATCTGTGACTCTGATCGCGTGGGTTCCTATAGATGGACAACGAAAGAAAGCGCGCTCACGAAAAGTCTATGTGAAAACGGATCTGTCTGCACTCGGGAAGTACAACTGGCGCAACCTCGCAAAGGACAGATGCAATTGGCGGAGTTTTTTGGTCTCGCCCCCAACCATCGAACGGTTGTAGAGGCAAATAATAATAATAAGACGAAAAAGGACTAACTATTGAGGATGTATGTAGCATTTTCAAGTACTGCGAAGTATCAAAATGATACTTCCTTGCAATACCATATGAGCGCTCAATTCTTTACTCAGTTTACCTTCTCTAAATAGAATTACTATTTTAAGATATGGATGAAATTCTTGGAAATATCCGCGAACAATGTTACCAAGTGCCCCTATATTGTCACATTTAGAG